AAGAGGGAAGAGGAGGAGGAGGAGGAGGAGCAGGAGGAGGAGGAGGAGGAGGAGAAGTCGCCACCTGCGGGGGATCCCCCCGCGGCAGGGGAGGAGGGCCGGCCTCCCACGGGCGGCGACGAGCGCGGCGTCCAGCCCGTGCGATGGTTGGTGCCCGCGAACCCCGTGCGGCACCCAAAGGCCCCTGGCGGCCACGCCCGGCGCCTCGCCCGCGGCAGGTGGCCTTCCGTGCCCCTGCCCCTCGCCGCGGCTCTGGCACCGCCCTCGCCGACGGCCACTGCGGACCCAAGAGGCTGCTCGAATGCGTGGGGGCCCAGCACGCGCCGTGCGGCAGACAAAGCCGCGTGGAGGCCCACGGCGGGGCCGGGCGTAAGGCCCGACGCCGGCGCGCGGCCGCACTCGAGGCCGCCAGAAGCGTGACAGCCGCAACCCCAACCACGTCACGAAGTACACCCAGCGAGATGCTTAAGAAATCACAGGTTAAGAAATTCAGAGTCTCAGAAATTCAATAAAAACCCAGAATGCCTATTCAAACCTTAGGATTTACATGGAAACGTTAAGAATAGTCGAGACTCTGGCCGAAAATTTGGGTTTTCTTAAGCATCGCCGAAGGTGTACAAGTACCTCGTCATCCAGGTCCCGGCCGAGACCAGCCACGACCAGTGCGCGACGGCCTCAACCACGATCGCAACTACAGCCACAGTTACAACCACGACCAGCACCACTACTACGACCACGACTACGACCAGCAGTACAAGCACCAGGGTTTCCTCACCCTCCCGCCCTTCATCCCGGCCGCTACATGCGACCAGGAGCACAACCAGGCCAAGCAGGAGCAGGAGGGGGAGGGGGACAATGACCTGGGGGGTGGCCAGCCCTGGACGAGGCGGATGCGGTGGTAGGAGCCCCGGACCTGGACATTGCGGAGGCGGCGCCCACGAACCGGCGGAACCGGCGGCGGCGGGGATGACTGTCGGGATCGCGGCTGCGGTGGCGGGGGGGAGGAGAGGAGGTAGGACGTCAGGCCAGGCGATGATCACGATTGTGGGCCCCGTCGGCACCAGAAGCAATACCTCTCTGAGCGGCAATGCCCCCAGCCCAACGCCCTATATGACGCGCAGCGCAGCCCTACGCCCAGACCAAGACCCAGCACCTCCCGACGCCCAGGCCGACGCCCAGACCGACGCCCAGACCGACAGCCTAGGCCGAGGAGATGCAGGAGGCGATGGAGGAGGAGGAGGAGGAGGAGCAGGAGGAGGAGGAGAAGGAGGATCAGCACCACCGACACCATCACCAAAGCCAGCAATAACGTGAGCATCGACACAAGCACAGCTTGCAGCATCGCCACCAATATCGACCCCGCCATCAACGCCAGCACCAACGCCAGCATCAACCCCAGCATCAACGCCAGCATCGAAGACGTCATCGACACCAGCACCGGAGCCACCATGTAAGTCAATCATCACCAACGCCAGCACCGACTCCTGCATCGACGCCAGCACCAACGCTGGCATCGACTCCAATATCGAAACCAGCCCTCAAAATAGCATTGAAGTCAGCACCGGCACCAGCCTTAACGCCAACATCGAAATCCACATTGACGCCAGCATCGACTACAGCGCTGACCTCAGCACTGGCGCCAGCATCCGCACCAGCATCGAGGACAGCATCGACCCCAGCATCAGTGCCAGCATCGACTCCAGCATCAACGTTTGCAGTAAGCCCTGCATCTACGCCAGCACCGACGACCACCACTGCGGAAGGCTGCCCCCCGCCCCCTTTCCGAGGCCCGTACCCTGCCAAGGGACGCCCGACCACTCCCACACCGACGAATACCACAACAGCGATCAGGCCACGGGGCTCTGCTGGTTAGACGCTGCAAAGTCCATATTATGCGTGAGCGGAATGGGCCACGTCGACGGCAAGGCCCTGTACGACACCTTCAGCGTCTTCGGCAAGATCCACGCATGCAATGGGTCCGCACGGGCACTCCTTGGGCTGCGGCGTCGTGCAGTACGAGACCGAAGAGGCGGCCACCAAAGCCACCAACTACCCCAAAGGTATTCCAGTGGGCCAGACCAGGGTCCAGGTCACCGCCTGGCACGGCGCCCGACACCACGCCCCTCCTGAGCCCTTCACCTACGCCCTCTCCGACGCCCCTCCCGACGCTCCACTGACCCCAGCATCGACTCCAACACTAACCTCAATATCGACCCCAGCACCGACGCGAGCACCGAAGACAGCATCGACTCCAGCAAAGCACTCGGAGAGGGCAGGACTGACGCCAGCGCTGACTACAGCATCGAAACCACCAATGATGCCAGCATCGACGCCAGCATCGTCGGCAATGGTCACCTTAGCCCCGAAGCCAAAATCAATGTCAGCACCAACACCAGCTCTGACTAAGGCGTCGATGCCAACCTTAACGCCAACAGCGACGCCAACATCGACACCAACACCTAAACCATCAACGACTCTGGCACATCGACCTCAACATCGACACCAACAGCGACTACCGCACCGATACCAACAGCGACATAACCGACTCCAGCAGCGAAATCCGCATCCATGGCATCATCGACACCGCCGCCGACCCCAGTACCGGAACCAGCCCTCACGACAGCACCGAAGCCAGCTTCGACGCAAGCACCGAGCACCGCACCGACTCCAGCACATAAGCCTGCATCGACTGCCGCACCTACGCCAGAATCGGCCCCAGCATCGACGGCTCCAACAGCAGCATTTACTCCAGCTCTGACGCCGGAACCCCCGCCAGCATCGATTTCCGTATCGACGCTAGCATCCCAAACAGCACTGGTTCTACCAACGGGGCCAGCAGCGACGTCAGCATCGGCGCCAGCACTGACTGCAGCACCGAAGGCAGTAACATCACCCTAGCCGCGAAGGCAACATGGACGACAGCACCGACACCTGCAAAATCCCCAGCATCGACGCCAACACTAACGCCAACATCGACCCAAGCACCGACACCAGCACCGAAGACAGCATCGACTCCAGCACAGGAACCTGCATCACCGTCCGCACCGACGCCAGCATCGACCCCAGTATCAACCCCAGCACTGTCGACAAATGACCACCCCAGGGGGGAAGGTCATGGCTGAGTAGGAGGCGGAAGAGGCGATCGAGGAGGAGGAGGATGAGGGTCAGCGCCACTGGCACCATGGGCAGCGCCAGCACCGAAGATAGTATCGACACCAGCACCAGCATCGACCCCAGCACCAGCGCCATTACCCACGCCTTCATCGACCTCAGCATCAGCGCGAGCAGCGGAGACAGCGCGGACCCCAGCAGCAGAGACCGCATCCACGACTGTATCGGCACCAGCGTCGACTCCAGGATCGAAGCTAATGTGTACTTCATCACCGAATGCTGCATCAAAGACTGCACTGACGCCAGCATCGACGCCAACATTGACCCCAGCAACCGACGCCAGCAACGATCCCAGCATCGACGCCTGCACCGACTCCAGCATCGACTCCAGCCCATGCCTATCCCGAGGACCAGCGCACGGCGGAGGCCGGCCCAGACGGTCATCTGGCGCCGCGGCCTCTCTTGGTGGCATCGCGCCTTAATCCTCACCAACTCCTGGGCGGTGGGGGCCTCACAAGCTACGGCCCCCTCGTCACTCGCTGGCCCACCCAGCGGTGCCATTTTCGGAATGGCCCCTCCTGGCGCACCACTCGGTGCCGCCTGGAGGGGGCCTTGGTCGCGTCCGTAGGACTCTCAGACCATCAATCGGCAGTCGGCGGGAGGAGAACGAGGCGTGCCGCGACCTAGGCGCCACATCGCTCGCGGTCGCGCTAGAGACTCCCCATAAACGCACTGGCGCCAGCGGAGGCGCGCGCAGAACTGGCGCGCCAGGGCGCAGAGCCGTCCTCGGTGCACAAGGCAAATCCGGCCGCCGCCCGGCTCCGAGTGCACCCGCGCAACCAGGCTGTCCGTCAGTCCGCAGGCGGGCGGCGGACTCCCTTGCCTGGCGCCGCTGGTCGCGGACGGCCTCCTCGCGGCCATCTGACAGCCAACGGGAGGCGCGGTCGGGCGCCACGGGGGGCTGGCCAAGGCGGTGGGGGCTTGGCGGGCCAGTAAAGGCACGACCGCCCGCTCTACGAGCGGCGCGTGCCCGCCAGGGACCGCTTCCGCCCCCCGACTGCCAGCCCAAGGTCTTTGAGCAAGCACTCCTGGATGCGAGGACGTGGATGGCAAGCGCTGGGCGGACGCTTCCGTGTGCCACACGGCCAGGGACGACGCCACCGTGCGTGTCGCTGCCTGGGGGCCGGGAGAGGCCTCGCGCCGAGCCGAGCGGGAGAAGCGCGTGCGACCTCTTGGCGAACAATTGACAGCCCTCGCTGTGCAGACTGCAGGACGCCTCGGTGCGGAGGCGCGCCAGTGGTTGCGCAGAGTCACGTTCGGAAACTGCCCGAGGACGGGCAGCCGCCCGAGCTGGCGCGCTGACCGCGTGTTGCGCTGCGCGGCAGCTGCGCCAGGCGGCGAGTCTGACGAGGAGGAGGCGCTGCTGCCCGGCGTTGTGGGCGGCGTGGCGTCGTTGGCTCGGCGGCCGCGCTGGCCGGTGGGGGCTCAGGCGGCGGCGGCGGCGGCGCGAGCCAGGCTCGCTGTCAGAGAGGCCGCCGCCAGCTCGGCAGCCGCGGCCGGCTGGGCCTGGGCGCTGCTGCCAGCGGGCGGCCGACGGAGGCGGGGGTGGCGGCGGGGGTGGCGGCGGGGCCGGTGGAAGCGGCGGTGGCTTGCTGAAAGGGCGCGCGGCGCGCCGCGCCGCGGCGATCGCGGCCCGCAGCGGTGTGCGATTGCCACGGGGGTTCCGTCGGATTCGTGACCTCCTGGGCCACGCCGGACGAAGGGGACGGGAGGAGGAGGACGAAGAGGAGGAGGAGGAGGAGGAGGCGGAGGAGCAGGAGGAGCAGGAAAAGGAGGAGGAGGAGGAGGAGGAAGAGAAGGGACACCCTCCGCGAGGGTCGGCGGCGCTCCTCGTAGCGCCCTCGCGGCAGCTCTCGCTGACGCACGTGAGCGAGGACATCTCGCAGATCTCGCCGCTCTCGCAGACACTTTCCCTGGGGAAACCCTTGCCTCCTCCTCGTCCTCTTCCTCGTCCTCCTCCTCCCCCTCTTCTTCCTCCTCCTCTTCCTTTTCCTCCTCCTCCTCCCCCTTCTCCTCCTCCTCCTCCACCTCGTCTTCCTCCTACTCCCCATGCCGACGCCATTCGTACTGGGTAAGTGGAAGGGCCCCTGGGACGCGGGGGGCGCCACGTACCCCCTTATCCAGCGCATGGCAGGGCGACAGTGGCCTAGGAACTCATGCCCCCACAAACAGGGCAAGCCCAGTCCACCCCAGGGAGGTAGTGACAGCAGGCATGGCGGCGTCGCGTCAGCGTTGAAAGAGAAAGGCACCTTTTCAGTCTCAGCCCCAAGACGCGGGCACAGTCAACGTCATCCTACACGAGTGCGCAGACTAAGCCAAAATGGCTGATACGGGGCCTGTCTGAGACATAGAGGAGACGGGAGGGGAGGTTTAACAACACAGCAGGAACACTGCACCACCACCCACCCGAGGACCTTTGGCTAACCCTAGACAGCCCATGACTTCCTCGCGGAGACGCTCCGTAGCCTCCCTGGCCAGCTCCTTCTTAGAGGCCAGCCGAGATCTAGATTTCAGGGAATTGTTGGGGGCACGCTCCGTGAGATGGTCATCTTCATCTATGAGGCATATGGTCCCCTTGCTGAGCAGGTCTGAGAGGGCGAGGTTACCTTTGCCGGGGTCGGCTTTGGTGAGAGCGCCTGCTGCCGTTCCAATATGCCGGACCCATCTGATTTGCGACCCAACCGCGCACATGGCATCCCGGACCACTGCTAATTCAATCACCGTGCGCCTGTCCTGTCCGGAGCCCGTACATTTTTTCGCTAAGCGTATCAAAGACGCACTTAGCGTCAATCACAAAGAGGGACGACACATCTTCAGCCAACGTGCAGTGAGAGCTCAGAATCACAGAGAACGGAGCGGAACCGAGGTGCCAGTTCGGCCGGCAGACGTCGTCGAACACTGAGCCCCGCCACAAGACTTGGAGCCATTGGGTTTCAGCGAGAGCAGAAGAGAGACTTCAAGTCTCTGCCGCGCTGGTGGGTGACGCAACTCGCTTCGGCCTAGCTGAACGCCAAGAGAGAAGGGATGCCCTCCCCCGCCTGTTTTTCCTGCTTCCTGCGTCCGCCGCGACGACGAGGAAAGCCCCTTGGGCGCCGTCTCGGCGCGCCGACCCGGGCCCCCCGGCGTCGGAGATAGCGACGAAGGTGAGGGGGGAGGGATCGACTGGCCAGTTAACTATGTCCTGACAGGCTGTGCTCCTGATATGACGAACTATCTGAATGCACAACTCAGCGTCGGCATTCGTGGGATTTGGACTAGCTGCGGACTGTGGAGAGGCTCCACCCGCGACATCTGGTCTAGTCTCTCTACCGAGCCATTGAATCTGCGCCACCATGGCACGATGCCCCTTTGACCCCGTCGGGAGAGAGAGGAGAGGTCGGATCCGACCGCCGGGATTTCTCAAGCCGCATCGGCGCGAGTTGCTCTGCCACGTATTTCTCCTGGTCGACCAAGATCTGACCACTCTGAAGCTGCTTGAGGTGTCTACCCGCAAGGTCAGACTCGCCGGCCTTCCACTTGCCGAAATGGAAGCGCTCCTGCAAACTGGATCTCAACTCATCCCGATAGTCGGGTTGCGACGCGAGGATGAGATCGCCCACCTCTAGGAGGCAGATCGAAAGAGGGGCTCGCTGAACAGTTCTTCTGACCAAAAGGCAAGGTTCTAACGATGACTGTTCAAACCCGACAGAGATTAAATAATATGCCAGCGTCCGGTGCCATGACAATTGCGCGTCTTCGAGGCCACAAACTCGAGCGACGAGCTCGATGAGGGCCCAGGGCTCGAGGTGCAATCCTTGGCATGGCCCGCAATAGATCGCACCGCGAGAGCAGCGCAACCTATCCGACTGGCAGAATGCGTTCTTCGCGTCGGCCACATCAAGTGTCCAGCCGAGTGCCGCTACAGCATGGAGCGCGAGCATCAGGCTCTCGGCCTGGGGGGCGGGGGCATAAACCTGAAGGCCCCCCCCGTCCGGATCCTGGTGGCCCTGGACGCGCCAACGGGAGTTGGCCTCTGGGGCCTGTCCAACGCCTTCCCAGAGCTTGAAACGGCGAGCCATGCGAGACCCCACGATCCCGTCAGGACACCTGCGCCTAATGACCTGGGCCTCGGCCACTGGAGCCACCCTGACAGCCCCGGACTTCACGGTGGCCCGCCACTCTATCGCATCAGAGAACACGAAAAACTCGCGCTCAACAACTCAGCACTTTCAGAGAGACCTCGGTGCCTCTCCCAGCCGGAGGGGCCCCCGCCCGGTCTCCAGAAGGAGAAGAGTGAGAGAGAGGGGGGGGGGCTCCCAGAACGTGGGTTCCCACCCGTGCTAGCTGCAAATCTCTCCCCATGACATGTCATCCTACGGGTACCGGAGATCGCGATCTGGCCCTCTGTGAGGTTGGCTGATCCTGAGAGGAGGAAGGAGGGGGGACTGCCGCGGCTGACGCAGACACTGCGCGACGCTGCTGCAGGACGCATGACGGAACGTCATGCCGCAGAAGACTCGTCGAGGGACGGCCCTCGAACTCCTGGGCCATAGACCGGGCCCTGCCCAGGCCTGCTGCTTGATCCTCCATGGGCGCGATGCGAGGCCTCTGCTGCGGCGGGGGAATCGGGCCAGACCGATCCGCGGGGGGGGCGGATGATCGGGCGAGTCGAAGCGTCCGAAAGGAAAAGGGGGGGAGACGGGGAAGAGGGCGCAGGAGCGGGAGGAGGAGGAGGAGCAGGGGAAGACGGGAGAGGAGCCGAGAGAGGGACGCACGAATGGGGGGCACCGAGGGGGGGATGTTGGGAAGGGCCGCCCGCGGTCTGACGCTCAATCAAGGGCTTGAATCAAGGGCGTCGACCGGGGCCTGGACCTGCGGCATAGGTTCAACGAGCTCGGCCTGGGGCGGAGAGCCCTGGGTCGCCCGAGCGACCGCCAGGGGCTCGCCCAGAAGCTCAGGGCCAACAGCCTCCCGGTCAGGAACGGCCACGCCCCGCGCCTGAGGAGGCGGGGGGCCCTCGGCCTCGACGCCCACGGCTCGGTCGCGACCCTTCGGATCCTTAGGCTCCTCGCGAAGCTCAGCCAGAGCCCCGGAATCCAAAAACTCGGCCCCTGGAGCCTCATCCGGAGCAGCCACTCTCACTTAATTGCTCAGCGGAGCACTTCAGCAAGCAAGCCCTCGTGGCCACCCAAACTGTCGTAGCATGCTGATGCGCGACAGCCCTCGGGCCCGCCCAACGGGCCCTGCCCCCTCTGCCCCTACTTACTCCGCGCGGCTTCCGCTGGGCGTAGACCAGAGAGCCTGGGGCGAAATTTGCATCCGCATGCTTCCGCGCTTTGGCCGCATATGTCAGCCTCTCCGTGACATCCAGGCTCGCCGTGGCTTTGCGAGCCTCCTCCTCGAACGGATGCTCGCGGGCAAATGCCGAGGCTGGACTTTCCGAACCCTGGGCCCCCCGAACCAAGTCCTGGAGGCCGACCTCGTCGACCGCATCATCCGAGAGAAGAGCCTGGGGGAGTCTCGGATTTTCTCCAAACGCCGACTGGGCCGGGGGGAATCCCCCCCCGCTGCTACACCTGTTCTCGGCAACAATGACCTCGCAAAGAAAATCCTCCAGCTCATCCAAGGAACGGAGGGAGGCGGCTGACGATGCCTTGGAGAGGGCCGTCTTAACCAATACCCCATGTCTCTCGCACCGCCCATTATGACGTGGACTCACTGCGTCGCAAAGATGGCGAGATACTCCGAGAACCTCCAAGCCTCTGAGGGAACCAGCTTCGAACTCGGCACCGCCGTCCGACATCACAATCTCGGGAATGCCCAGTGGGCGAACCCACGAGCGAACGAACGCGGTCCACACCTGTTCACCCGCGGTGCAAATGTGATAAGTGGCGCCGTGGCCTATGACATTGCGAATAGGGACGATACCCTTAAACACGTGCACATAGAACACAACTACCACAACCAGCTTGTTAAATCGGAACGCACTGGGAAGCTGTGATTTCCGTCGCCAGTGAGGCCTGGCCTCCGTCTCGAACTGGGGGCAGACGAAATGCTTCGAAACCCGGCGGACGATATCGCCCTGGACCCTAGCTAGCAACCCCGAGCGCCCGCGCGAATTCTTCCAGGCGCGGGTGTCCTAGATTAGCGTGAGGCCTGTGTAACCCCCGTGGATGTCCTGACCGAGATCCACGCCCGGTTACATCGGCCTCGGAATCTCCTGAGAGCGTGGACCCGGAGGCCCAAGGTCCCCGGGGCGAGGCTCAGGAGGAGGGGGAGGAGGCGCACTCCCGGACTCATCGTCCGTGTCCGAGTCCATCTGCACGGGCTCCTGCACCGGACATCGGCGGACACGGCGCCACAGTCAGCAGGCGCTCGGCGGCCTTCTCGAGGCCCGATCAGATCGCCATCGCCAGCACAGGAGGGTAACGTTGAGCAGCTTTCGTCATGGCCCCTCCCTCCAGATAGACATGCCGATGATCTCTGGAGCATTGACGATCGCAGGCGGCCAGGAGTTCCGGACCATTAGACAGAAACTTGGTAGGCTTCTGAGACACTGCGCCAGGACGGACGCTGAGGCCGAAATCGCACTGGTCGGACCTGACCGCTTGCACCCCTGGGGGCGACTCGAGATGCCTCCTGGCTTCGAGCTCGCAACTGCTTGCATGCCATGCTGGGGTGCTCGAACCAGAATATCATACTTCTCTTGTGCTGGTATTCGGCAACCTGCGCACAGATAGCAACATGCAACAACGCTTCCTGTTCGGCCTTGACCTGATCGGCAACCGAAGCGCTGCCCTCGGCACTGGCTGAACACCCTACAAGGCGGACGCATCAGAATCACGAAAGGCTGGTCATCATCAATCGCCTGCCAGATTCTCTTACGCTCCGAAGCCTGGCGAAGATCCCAACCCGTGGCCTGGTCGATCGATCGCGAGGTCCGACGACCCCACCGGCTAAGCTCAGCCCCGACCCTGGGCGGCGAGGGAAAGCTCCAGGCACAGGGAGGACGACGAGGACCCAACCAGGTGCTTGAGATTCCTACGAGCCCTTCCGTTGGAGGCTCCAATGCCGGGGCCCTCGAGGACCCTCAGCCGCTTGTCTAACCTTACGTGGGACCGTAGCAAGAGAACTAGCATCCTGGGGGATCTGCGTGTTCTCCAAGAAAAACAAGAAAGTCGAAGTAGTTGGGCCGCTAGCTACGGCCCCGGCCTCGCCCACTCGTTGTTGGGCCTGCTCGAGGGCCTGATCGATGTTAGCGGCAGCATAGGATCGGCGACATCTGAGGAGGCGGCCCCCCCCAAACCTGAACTTTCAGAGAAGAGGAAGGAAAGCCGTCTAGCGCTTTGGTTACAGAAAGGATCGAGAGAGAGGAAACGAGTGAGTCGAGAACGGCGGCGAGGGAGGGCCCCCGCTCGAGCGACCTGGATCTGGCGAGCCCCGGGAAGCGAGTTTTCGGGAGCGGAGCCTCCTGAGGCTCGGAGGGCCACGTAGACGGCCCAGGCCACCTTCTCGGAGGCGGTGAAATCCCGGGGAGACCAGTCCATCCCAGAGCAGACCGTCTCAAGCAGAACCCGAGACGCCGAGTGCAGGTCCCAGACTTCTCCAGCACACCAGGGGGCCCTGCTTCCGAGCTACCCGGCCAGGCCTGGGCAAACGGTTCTGAAGCTCTTGGCGATCCAGCTGCTGGAGGGACCCGGGCCCCCGAGCTTCTGAAGCACATCGTGATGCCTGGAGAAGTGGAGGTAGAGCTAAGATGTTGGTGAAGATGATGATGGCTGTCCTCTTTGTTGACTCCAAGCTGGGAAGGTCGTGGTCGTCGCAAGCCTGGACTGCGCTCGGCGTCGGCGAGCTCTCGCTCGCGTCCGAGGGCTGACTCGAGCTCTGGATGCCCGAGGTGTCTTCCAAGCGCTCGCTCAGAACCTCCCGCCCGAGCCACGCGCCACCGCGCTGAGCGCCCTACTGCCTCGATGAGCGCGTCCATCCGGTGGGCCCTCTCCTGGCGGTCCCGCTGCATCATCGTCTTCATCTCGTCGAGCCCGTCCGCGCTGCCCTTCGTCGCCGGGGGCGGCTTCGCCGGAGGGGCTTCGCCGCCGTCATCGACGCCGCCGCCGCCGCGGACCTCGTGGCCGGCGCCTTCGAGCGAGCCCCCGGAGGCGGCGGCTTCCACGGTGGTAGGGCTGGCGAGCCCCCGCTGAACTTGAGCGATAGAAGGTCGCGCGGGGCCAGCGGGTCGCCCCCCTCGAAGCTGATAGTGGAGTCGAGGCCGGTCGGGACTGGGCGCGCCATGCGCTGCGGGATGCGATCCTGAGCGTCCAGCCACTGCTTGCGGGACTTCTCCAGGGCGCGCTCCTGCTTCGCGATGACCTTCACGCGGGTCTCCTCGATCTCCACCTTGGTCTTCTTGTCGAAGCACAGGGTCGCCGTGCGCGCGGCACTTAGCGCAGTGGCCGCATTGGTTGCCCCCGTGCCGGCGGGCCGACAGCGGGCGCGGGCACTCCGCGGGCTGATCGTCCTTGGGCAACTTGTTCGAGCGAGGAGCTGTCTTCGCGAGGATGCGAGTGTCCGAGCAGACCCTGAGGCACACCGGGGGCCTGATAGCCATCCAGCGCCAGGCGCGCACCAGCGGGGTAGTCGCCGCTCAGGAAGAGGGCCTTCTCAAAGTAGGTCATCTCCTCCTCCTCGCAGTTGATCGCCCTCAACTGGCCGTCGACCCGCGGGTCAGGCGGCATGCCCCAGTTCTGCTCGAGGTCGGAGTCGGAGGCGTCCGCTCCCTCCTCCGGGATCGCGTCCAGCTCGATCTCCCGGTCGACCCCCCTGCTCGCCTGGCGCAGCGCCGCCCGGCGAAGACCTCGTAGCGTGCGATTCGCCCTGGTCTCCATCACCTTCGTGAGCTTGGGAGCAGCCTCGGGCATCGCCGGTCTGCTGCTCGTCCGAGGGGCTGCTAGCTGCAGAGCTTGAGCCGAGAGGTTCTACGGATGAGTGGCTGGGCTGGCCCCGCGTGAGCCGACGGGGCCCTCGCTGCGATGAAGGGCGAGACCGGGGGGGGGGAGGAGAAATCTGACCTAACTGATCGCTGGCGCTCACTAGCCCTGAACCCTCACCCCCCCGCTCCTGAGCACGATCGAGGATCTCGAAATCCGCGCGCCCGATGCAGAGGCCCGAGAACTTCACCTGGAAGCGCCCCTGGGGATCCCTACAGTCGAGGTCGACGGTCGCCCCGCCGGGGCCCCCGCCGTCCAAGTAGAGACAAGTGGCCTTTATCCTGCCGAGCCTGCTCTGAGGTACGGGACACTCGAGGATATCTCCGAAGTCGAAAAGGGGATCTCTGGGAACTGCGTGCACTCTCCTGAGAACCGAACCTCAAGTCCCCCAGCAGCCCCCCGAGGACATCGAGGCGAAATCGCCCGAGGTCGGAATCATGAGCGGCGGGGGCCCCTTCGCGATATAATCATGCAGGCGGAAATCCTCGGGGTCGCAGCCCATGAGCGAGGCGGCCCGATGACCCGACGGAAACCTATTCAAGGGAACTGTCTTCCGGGAAGCTCCGTCTCCGACGCTCATCTGATTGGCTCCTAAATGGACGACTGCACGCAGGAAATCGAGAAACTTGGCTGGCAAGAGAGGGGGGCAGGCATGAGGATGTATAAGAAACTCGACCAGGCCGCACTTGTGGAAGGATACTGGGACGACAGCCCTGCCGATCGGGCCCACCTTGGCTCCCACTCCGTTCGCGGCGGAGAGGGAATCGTCATTGCCGCGTGAACTCGGCATCCTCTCTTCTCGAAAGCCTGTATCATGCCATCTAGATCTGATTTCCCCATCGGGGCCTGCCCAGCCGCAACGCCCATCAACGCGCAATCCTCCATGCTCTGAAGCGTAGCCGCCGTGAAGCACTGCAGCTTGTCGGCAGAAGCTGGCATCAACGTCTCGTCGAATGCCTCGGATGAGCTGGAGATTGAACCCACCTGGCCGTCAAAATCGCCAACTAAGGCCCACCTGGCCGTCCTGGTCGCAGAAAGCGACTGCCCATGAGCTCCCCGAGTGACTCTCCGCAGTGACGTCGAAATAGAAGGAAGACTGCTGAGGGCCCCTCTGGCCACTCGGCCGCGGACCACCTTGCCCAGCGGCCTCAGCCTTCAATATATCCGCCTTACTGCGAAATGGCTTACGGCAATCCTCGCGCCAGTGTCCCTTGTCGCCGCAATTATTAGAGCAGCGCGAACGTTTCTGGAAGTCGTTTCTCGTCACCTTGCGGGTCTCCTTTCGATCAAATAACTTTCGATCCACCTTCTTTGCCGTCTTGAGCTGCTGGGATTCGGCCCAGGTCCCCCGGCGCTGCTGAAGGGTGACCTCGGCAAAGACATATACTATGGCCTCCTCCTCTAGGCCCTGTTCCTCAAGAAAAGCAATGAGAGTCGCGCGCTCGTGAGGGTCGAACTCCATTTCGAATCATCCGAAGCGCTCTCCGCCATCGCAGGTCTCGCACTCATCTTCCGGAGGCTGGCCCGGCGCAGCTGCGAACGTTCTGGTGGGACCTGAACTGGGCGAATTAGGCGACGCCTGCTTCTCGGTAATATCTAACTCGAGAAGGGCCTGCCTGATGGGCTGCAGGCCCTTCTTCCCAGCCAAGCGGGTACGCGAGTTGACGCGCGCGCCCGAAGATAACCCAGCTCCTTCATAGCAGCGCGCCTTGACGTTGCCCGGCAGCACAAGCCCGCGCTGCTCGGCCGCGTCGATCTGACTGTCTCGACAATGGCATAGTCAGTGCATTGCGCTCGATATCCCCCTGTCTCTCTCCGGCCAGAAATCGAAGATGCCTGGCCAGGGTCCAGGCCGTCGTCTCTGTCCAGGGCGTGTGTGACCGACTTGAACTGGGTCTGCAGCTCGACGGGATACTTCTCTAAAACTCGGCCTACACGCGCGGCCAGCTCGCAGCCCGCCCGGGCCGCCCACGAATTCAAACTCGACGCGCGCACCTCGAGGTGCCCCATGCCATGCCAAACGGGGGGGGGGGAGAAATCCCGCTTGATCTCCTCGAGCGGCTTCTTCCAGTCCGACTGACTCCAGTCGCCGCCCCGCGGCGACCACCACCGGCCCGAGCCCCGGGAAGATGCCCACCCCCACCACGAGTCGCGCCCGGCGTCTGCTGCTGCGCCCGTCGACTCGCGTGCACCGTCCTGCCTGGGCGGGGAAGGGAACTCCCACCCCTGTCCTCCGTCGTCGGTCTGCGCGCCTGCGCGGTGGCGACGCCGACCCGCGCCTGCGCCCCCAGATGCTGAGCCTGATTGGGCCCCCCCGGCCTCCGCCTCCGCGTCGCTAGCCACGATCCGCATGCCATTGAAAGCAGGCGCGGCGGCGTCGCGTCAGCGCCGCAAGAGAGGCGCCTTTTCAGTCGCAGCCCGAAGACGCGGACACAGTCAACGTCATCCTACGCGAGTGTGCACACTAAGCCAAAATGGCTGATACGGGGCCTGTCTGACACGTAGAGGCCTCTGGAACCTGAAGCAAGGATGCGCGTCCCTGTTGACGGACTGACATGAGCATCCCGCCCTCGCATTGCGGGGCTCGTCGGGCTCGGGGAACCTTGGTCCACTTTAATGGCCGCGCGGCGGCCATGTTGCCGTGGCGGGCGCGGAATTTTGGCACCGCATTGGCCTGGGTGCCAATCAGGCAGTGACATCCGTTCCCGTGCCCAATGCTAGGAGGCCCATCCCTGTTGATGGACAAGCACGGGCATCTCGCCAACCGCGTCGATGGACAGGCACTGGCATCCGCCCCTCGCGCCTGAAGCTAGGAGCCAGGGTGCGGACAGGCGTGGACATCCCATCCTCGCAATGAAGATGGCACTCCGCAACGAAAATGGTCCGCGCCGCCGCTGCGGGCGCGGCATGTTCGCCGCTGGCGGCGTTCAGGAAGCCATCTGTCGGCCTGGATTCTCACCCCTGTCGATGGACCGGCATGGGAATCAGCCTTCGCGCCCGCAGCTAAGATGCCCACCCCTGCTAATGGACGAGCACGAACATCCAGCCCTCGCACAGAGGACGCGCTGGGCACCGCGAACTTTAGTCCGCCCCAGTGGCCGCGAGATGATGGCCAGATTGTCGCTGCGGGCGCGGCGGCCTCCAGCAGTTGCCTCGCGCCGCACTCGAGCACGAATCTAACGGAATCTCAATGGAGTTCGGTGGGAATTATTTCGCGGAGACCGCCCAGCGGCGCACTCCATTTGCAGTGTCGCGCGTAGGTTCGACGCCGTTTCGGCTCGACGCTTGCGTCTCGGATCGTCTAGCCCGGCTGCCCGGGGCCTCCTCCATTGGCGGCTTTTGCCGCGTTGGCTTGGATGGCCACCCCCGTCGATGGACAGGCGCCGGCATCCGCCCCTCGCGACTGAAGCTCGGACGCGCGCCCCTCTCGACGGGCGGGCATGGGCGCCCCGTCCTGGAGATGCGGGCATTGCTCGGCACGCAAAAATCTGGCCCGCATCGCTGGCCGCGGCGCGGGACGGACAATTCGCCGTTGCGGGCGGGACATTCTCGCCACTCACGGCGCTCAGTGGGCACCATGTTGGCCTGGGTACCCGTCCTCGCCGATGGTCAGGCATGGGGATCCGCCCTTCATGCCGAAAGCAATGACGCCTGTCCCCGCTGATGGACAGGCGTCGGCATCCCGCCTTCGCAAAGAGGACGCGCTGGGCATCGAGAA